GAAAAAAAAATTATCGAGAAAAAATAATTTTCAAAAATATGATAATTTTTTTTTTCTGGGTAAGTAAGTTACTAAAAGGTGTTTGATAGGCTAAAACTTTTTGGGAAATATTAAGTTAATTTTACTCATGTTATAAGTTAATTTTTTCACCACATGGGAAAAAAATAATTCCATCCCTTCAATAGTAATCTTCTCTAACCATTTTACATACAAAAGTAGGGCTGTGCATGGAGAGGTTCATAACCGATTTTAACAAAAACCGAATCAAACTGATTTTAAACGGTTTGGTTTTCAAATTGAACCAATTTTCTTCTTTTAAAACCGTTTTTTAATTTTCTAAACTAGTTTGAAATTGGTTCCAAAATCGGTTTATGGTTTATAATCGATTTTGATTTAAAATCGGTTTTAAATCAAAACCGGTTATGAACCATAAACCGGTTATCAAGTTCAAAACTGGTTTTTTAACAAATTTAAAATCAGTTTTTGATGGATTGTGCTATTTTTATAAGTAGATGTTTGTTTTTCCCGGTTATAGGTAGTTGACCAACTATTTCTTACAAGAATCTTCATTGATTTGGAACTCTCCGGACGAAATGATTCTTATAGAAATTATTTCACGTTGTTTTGAGAGTGATTGGTAGAAGAACAGTTGAATTATTTTAAAATTATAAAAAAATTGCTCTTCGTTCTCTGAAGATTTATGTTACTGAGAGTTTCATTTGAACTGATGGAGGAAGGTATGAGTAGGGGTATTCAAAATGTCCAAAAGAACTAAATCAATCCATAACCAAACTGCTCCACATTTTAAAAATCGATTATTTTTAAAAATCTGTTTCATATGAAATTGTATTTTATTTTTTTAAACTGGTTATTTACCAAACCATAAAAATAATTGGTTATCCATAACCAAACTGCTCTATAATTAAAGAACAAATAAGTAAATCCATTGTGAGTTGTCCTTTTAACGGCGCTCAGAGAGACGTTAAGCCAATTGATTAATTTCGTTGCCCTTTTCATTATGATTTTTTAACTTCATCTTTGTCATTTCAAAGCCTTCACTTTGTCAAATTATGAGTTTTTCCGGAGGCCTGTATGTGGTTATTTTTTTTTTTTTTGGGAAAAAAAGTTGTTATATTATATAAGAAGTGATTTCTTAGGATGCCACATTTCAATTTATGTGTAATTTTTTTTTAAAATAAATATTTTCTACTTGAGCTGCTTAACTTTTTTTTGCTAATTTATTGTTTGGAAGTTTGAGTCAATTAACTAATATAATAGGCATGATAAAAAATAATACTTATTTGAGTCAATTGACTAGTTTATTGTAGAGCAGGTTGGTTATGGATAACTAATTATTTTTATGGTTTGGTAAATAACCAATTTATAAAATAACATGCAGTTTCACATGAAATCGGTTTTTAAAATAACCAGTTTTTAAAATGTGGAGCAGTTTGATTATGGATCAGTTGGTTCTTTTGGATATTTTGAACAACCTTATACAAAAGCAAATGATGAAAAAAAAAAATTTCCGGCCAAATTTTTACTTCACCTCCTATCAAACATAAGCAAATAATTTTCCCCACTCTATTTTTCTAGGAAAATTTGTTTTACCTCCTACCAAACACCTCGGTGTAAATTGTTATTCATTCAGTAATGAAAAATAAAATGTTCTCTCTCTTTTCTTTCAGTTTTCTCAATTTCTAGAATCGGTGTGTTCAAAAAAATGTATTAATTTTTGTAGAAATAAAAATCTCCAATCTTTAAAAAAAAAGTTCATGACTACTATATATATTAACTTAAAAAATCTCGAACTTAAACTAAATATATATTTAATTAATCTTCTTATTAAAAACATGAAAACACGCATCTTATTATTTTGTGACTGAAAGTCTGAAACTAGTTTTAAGAGAAGCAAGCCAAAAAATTGAGCACAGGCAGGATTTGATCTATATCCTATAAGAGCATAGGTTCAAACTAATTGGTTAATATGAGAATTTTATTGGTAAATGATATGTAATTTTTTTCGAAAATTCTCAAACAAATTAAGGGGTCTTTCCTGATTTTATGAGATAAGGGTGTCTTACCCTACTTAAACTTTTTATTCAAATAAAACTATTTTGAGCACATACCAAAATTCAATTTTGTAATGTTCCTTAAACAAATATATTAAATTGAGTAAATCTATGTGGAAGCCTAAATAAATATATTTAATGGTCAAATATAAATTTTTTAACCAATATTCTGCTTTTTATATATATTGAGAAATAGTTTTTTGCACGAGGTGAATTGAAGATTTATTATGTGTAATCGTTTTCTTTTATTTTATTTATTTATTTTTTATTATCTTCATGCGCGATAGTAACACATGCTGAAATGACTCCATTGCTTTTCGCTCTTATGAAAAACAGAACCATTTCTAGCGGTGAAATTTTAGCGTTGTAGGAAGTTGGAATCCTGAACGCAATGCGCATGGAAAACATTCCAGAATCTTTATCGATAGGGACGAAACGCCGACAAGATGAAGATTCTGATGCCGGAAACACCTCATCACTCGGTACGCAATCTTCTCTTATCCTCCGTCTTTCTTTCTCTTTTTAGGTTAGAGTAATCTGTATTGCAATTTGCAATGGACGATCTTACATTCACCGACACGCTGGTTTCGCTTCGAATAATTCGAGCTCAGTTTCCCCACATTCACAAGGTTAGGTCATCTTCTGCTAAGGATGGCATGGGAAGCCCCAAAACCCTCTTAAGTGATTTTTCTACTAATAGGCAAGGGAAGAAATCATAATAAATGAACCGACATCACGTCTCATTCCAAAATCTTAACACTTTAAGTCAATGAGTTTTTTGCACTTATATGATCCTCTTTTGATTCATGTTTAACCAATGTTGTACTTTATTACTACACACTTTAATATTTCTAATATTCTCCCCTCATTTGCTCAAGTCTTTTTCTCTTCAAATATTAAGGTTACATTAGTCTACATTAGTCTTCTCCATATACTTGTCCCTGGCCAATACGAATACGAAGGTTAAGAATGGTAAATATTAGAGTTACATTAGTCTTCCCCATTTACTTGTCTCTAGCCAAACTTTTGGCTTTGATACGAAGGTTAAGAATGGTATAAGGGGGTTTTGATACGGGAAGTCCAAAACCCTTAGAAGGGATTTTTCCACCAATAGGCCTAAATGACAAATCACAATAAGTGAGCTGACATCACATCACATCTCAACCCAAAATCTTAAGACTGTAGGTCTATGGGTCTTTTGCACTTATATGGTCCTCACTTGGTTCATGTTTAACCAATGTGAGACTTCATTACTACTCACACTTGAATATTTCTAACAATTATGGCCCGTAAATTAATACATTAACTTCTTATCAGTAGTAGTCCTACTCCCCAGGCCTTATTAAATTATACTTAATTTTAATATATTAAGAGATTCGATCATATAAGTTTATATTATATGATGGTTACACCAAACACTAAAAATGTCATAACCTATAGTATAAACTTATATTATTAGGCCTTATACATCACACTAAATAAGTCCTTAACGTCAGCCCACTTGTCGTGACATATCATTTGACCTGTTAGTGGAAGTATCATTTCCAAAGAATTTTGGGCATCCATAAACCATGTCAACAGATTAAGATGGCCATTTAAAAATGGTATATTTCATTTCTTTTGTTATAAAAATGTGTGTGTGTGTGTGAGAGAGAGAGAGAGAGAGGTCGTGGGGCTAGTTTAGGATCTATCTGATTTTCATAGTTAATTCTTGGGTGTTGGACTAACAAGTTTGTTAGGAGAGGAATGTTCCATTCAATAATGGGAATTCAATGAAGAGTAGTTGGTAACAAATTGTTAAGGGACATAGGAGATATATCGGGGGAGTTAAGAGCAACGCACTATGTCAGGGGTGACATTCCAGAACTTGGTCCTATTTGCTTACCTAATGGATAGCCATTTCAGTTGATAAAAAGCTCCTTGATGCTTCTTATACTGCTATGGTCATTTTAATTGCTTTATGATCGCTCATACAAAATTATGCTTCATGCATAAGTGGATCTCTATATTTCAAGTAGTGGGATCGGGGGAGAGGATCTTTAGCTAGCTGAACTTCACCTTGAGGATAAGGTAGATCTTTTTAGAAATACACCACTGGTATCAATGGTGTAAGGAAGGGGCACAGGAAAACAACTTCCCATATTGAGTAGATAAGTTTGCTAGAAGAGGAATATTCCATTTTGTAATGGAAATTCTGTTAAGAGAAGTTGACAAAATATTGTAGAGGGACATAGGAGATAGAGGGATATAAGTAAGAGAGGGTAAGGAGACATTGATTAGGATTTGGATTGGGATTGACCAACTGTCTATTATTTCATTCAGTTTCTTTCATTACCGTAATCTGGATTGGCTGTTTATCAATATGATATCAGCCTTTACCAATACAATATTATGTTTCTTCTTCAATTTTACCTCTATTATTAGTTGGAATCTATCACTTTCTTGACGTAAGGTCCTAACCAAATAACACTTTTTAAGTGAACTTGATAGATGGTATAGTCAATAGGTGTATGATTGTTAGCTGAACTGGCTTTTGGACTTTTGTGCAGAATGTATTACTCGTTGTGTTGTCATGTGGTGGTGAAGTTTGTTTGATTGTCGGCTTGAAGGAATGGTCTTTTTTACCCTACATGGAGGAATGTGTTTTATGTCAGGGGAAAAACAAAGATTGAGCAGAGGGTGGTGTTCATTTATTAAGTATAGGCTGTTTTATGCAAGGATACGACCTAAATTGATTTTTCGTTGGTAACCCTTTTACGAAAACCAACTTGTGCTAAAAATCTCTACAATTTAAGTTAAAGGTAGCTGAAATTTATATCAGAAACCGGTAAGCATTATTTTTATTTTGGTACTTAAATAGTAAAACATTCTTGAAAACCAAAGGCAGAATAAGTGGCACAAAATAATTGACTTGACAATATTTTATCTTCAAGCGCTATTTAACAGATATTTTTCTACGCTCCTAAAATAGGATAAAGTGGACTCTGATGCCTTCTCCGCTTTGATACTCCCTTCTATGTGGGATTCATGGTCATAAGATATCTTCATTTTGACCAAAGTCTTATGCTCTTCTATCGCAGATAGTTGAAAACTTATCTTGTAATATGACAATCCTTGATACAGACATTCTCCTTCAATCACTTGCAGCCCAATTTCATGAGAAAACTCATCAAGCTCCGTGATCTTCTCCCTCTGGCGACTTACTGGGGATGCATCTAAGATTCATTGATCCCAAAATAGAATTTGATTAGCATTAAAACGGGAAAATTTGTGTACTATATATAACACAAAAAATGATATTGGCATTTTCATGAACCAATTCTCCCAAAAAGTTAAATTATTGAATGAAGGCACGGTTTGAAATAATCCTTTGGGTCTCAAGCGTAAATAATGTACAATACCTATTTACCTTGTAGTAAATTTCTATTTTGGACCCAACCGATAGCCTCATATTATCAACTAATAATAACCTAATAACAGATTAGCTCAAGTACTAAGCAATAAGATGATAAATCTTATCCCTAATTAGCTTGACTCCCATACTACCTAAAGGTAACCTCATCTATAAAGAGTGGGTTAAGTTAGGTACACACTTTCTAAATCCTATTCTCTTAGTTGTCATTGTGTACACATGCACCTCATATCCTTTTGACCTTGATCTTCTTCATGCACAAGTGATTTACTATCCCTTATGACATTTTTTTCATAGACGTCCACAAGCATACAACCATATAGTCTACATTCACAATACTCTTGGATCGATCAATTTCATAGATATATTTTTTAATAGAATAAAGCAATAAGCATCGAAGTGTTGAAATATGTCTGTGAACCAATTTTTACAAAATCTTCAGCTATTAAGGAAATACACACCCCTTTTGTCCCCAACTATATATACCCACCAAGCAAAACTCACCAGGCAAAAGATTAAAGATGATGATTGTACCAACCCCTCCATCGCCTTCCATCACTTGCACATCTTTCACTATATCTGGGAGAACTTTGGGACATATGATAATGAAGTCCTTGAACAGAGCTGCCCAGAGGATTTCTAACCCCACCTTGAACTCTGCTTGGTAGTTGAATTCCTTTATCATGGCTGTTTAAGACGTGCTTTTCCAAAGCAGCATGATATTTATATATATAGTACATGAAATTAGAGAATCTTTTTGAAGCCTTAACAAAATGTTCCATCTTGTCATTGAGATGTAAGCGTTACCAACTCCCACCTAATTAATTATAAAAAGGTTGGTAACCCTTTCACGAAAACCAATTTGTGCTAAATAGCTAGGAATACTGACCAAAGTTTTATTCTTTGACGGATTTTTTATCCAAATGTCATGAAATAGTACTTTTTACCAGATTGTCACACAACATAATTTGTTACGACTGATAGCGAATTACGTTCGCCTATTATTTCATGACACGAGATCATATTGTGTACCAAATTTACTATCACTAGTAGCGAATTTAGTCCAGTCAGTTTTTTCCTGTAAAAATGTGTCACATGTCGCAAAATCATTGACGAACGTGATTTACAACCAGTCGTAACGAATTACGTCACGTGATATTTTGATAAAAAGTACTCTTCTTATGATATTTGGATAAAAAATTTGCAAACAATGACACTTTGATCGATGTTGCAAATAGCTATACTGTGAAGTTAAAGGCAGCTGAAATCGTATTTCAGAAACCAGTCAACATGACTTTTATTTTGCTACTTAAAATAGTAAAACACTTTTGAAAACCAAAGGTAGAATAAGTGGCCCCAGATTATTGATTTGACAAAATTATCATCAAGTGCCATTCATCAGATATTTTTCTAGGCACCTAAGATAGAATAAAGTGGACTCTGATGTCTTCATGGGTTTGATGCTTTCTTCAATGTGGGATTCATGGTCGTAAGATACCTTCACTTTGACCAAAGTCTGATGCTCTCCTATTTCAGATAGTTGAAAACTTGTTTTGTAGTATGACAATCCTTTATTCAGATACCCTCCTTCAATCACTTGCAGGCCAATTTCATGCGAGAACTCATCAAGCTCTGTGATCTTCTCTCTCTGGTAACTTACTGGAGATACATCTGAATTCATTCCCAAAAAGGAGTTTGATCAGTAGTATTGAATAAATCAGAAAATTTGTATATGACATAACACAAAAATTAATATTGGGATCATAGCCCTTTTGTTTCCAACTGCCCCATTAAGTAACACTCACCAGACAAAAAATTAAAGATGAGGTTTGTACCAACCCCTCCATCACCTTCAATCACTTGCACATCTTTCACAATATTAGGGAGAACTTTTGGAACTATGGTAATGAAATCTTTGGACAGAGCTGCCCAAAGGGTTTCCAACCCCACTCTGAACTCTGCTTGGGTGTTGAATTCCTTTATCATGGCTCTTTAAAACGTGCTTTCCCAGAGCAGCATGATATTGATACATATAGTACAAGAAATTAGAGAATCTTTTTTCTAGCCTTATGGACAAAAGAACAGGGCATCCTCCACCATCTCATTGACATGTGAGCATGGAATATACCTCTTTTTTTTAATGAAGGGGAGGGAAAGGTTCCTGTGTATATTAATTCTATACAAAATGTTTAAATAAGTTTGATGCCATAAAGAAAATATGGTTGGTGGGAATAAAAATATTATTAATTAATAAAGTATAGGATACCTCCTACACATAATAGAGTTGGTCTGATAGCTAGATGCCAATCATTTTGTTCAAGCCAAATTAATAAATTTATGGATAGATAATATTTGAGTGAACTTATTAACTATATGCATATCGTTGAACCAAGTAGCATTCAAACAGGGCTAACATGATAATGTAGTGTATCACAATTTAACTTACTTAAAAACAAATATTAGTTAAGTGGTAAGAAATTTATTTATTTTTAATTAGAGATCTCCAATTCGAATCAAATTTACTTACATTATAATTAATCGATTGAGGAAATCAACATCTACAACAATACTTTCTTATCTCAATCTAGTTATACCAGCGGTAGAAGACTGCAAGAAAAAATTGACAGGATGAAACTAAAAAAAATATAAAAAGTAGGGTTTATATTTTCTTATATTACATAAGAGAACATATCTCCAACAATAAATACAATTTTCAATATAGGATCCACTTGTAATTAAAAAAAAAATTTGTTCATATGTTTTCTTATGTTACATAAGACAACATATCTCTAACCATATCTACAACAATAAAAACTGATTTGGAACTATTCATGTATTTGTATGGAAAATTGTTGTCTGATGTAACATAAGAAAACATAAAACTAGATAACCAGTCAACGATATTCTTTTTATTTTGGGTACTTAAAAAGATTCGATCATTCTTGAAAGGCAACAAATCAAAGCACAATGACCGGCCTCAGATAATTGACAAGACAATATAATCTTCAAGCACGATTCAACAGATATGTTTCTAGGCATCTAAGAAAGGACAAAACGGCCTCTGATGTCTTCACTGGATGGGAACTTTCCTGTGTGTCTGACTCATAGTCATAAGAGATCTTCACTTTGGCCAGTGTCTGATTCTCTCCAATTTCAGATAGTTGATAACTTATCTTATAGTATGAGAAACCTTGATTCAGATGCCCTCCTTCAACCACTTGCAGCCCAATTTCATGAGAAAACTCATCAAGCTCTGTGATCTTCTCCCTCTGGTAACTCACTGGTTGTACATCTATTATTAATTATCAAAAAAAATGAATTTGATTAGCAGTATTGAATAAGTCAGAAAAAATTTCAAGTGCTAAGATAACATTAAAAGGAAGAAATGCTCACCAGAGGAAAAAGTGAAGTGAAGGATTGTACCAATCCCTCCATCGCCTTCTATCACTTTCACATCTTTCACAATATTTGGTATAACCTTTGGAGTTATGAATGCCAAATCCTTGGACAGAGCTTGCCACAGGGTTCCCAACCCCACACTGATCTCTGTTTGGCTGTTGAATTCCTTTGTCATGATTGTTCAATATGGACTTCAATTGAGAAAGCATTATCTATATATATTAGTGGACTTCAAGATAATATTAAATAATATCAACATCAACAATAATTTATTCAAAATTAATTGGGTTGGTGATAAATGAATCAAAATAAAAAATACAATAAATTTGTAAAATTTATATCCTAAAAAAATTATTAACACCATAATTAACCAAAAATTATCCTTCAAGGAAGAAAATCAGATGATACCTTCTCATGTTCTCTCCAACATGTTACATATTTTAAAGATGCCTTTTTGTTTTCTTATGAAGAATACAGATGGTAATAAAGAAAATACGCATGGTTTGTAGGATATTTATTATGGTTTCTTTCTTTATTATTACCATGAGAATACTTTCTTTGTTTATCATATTAACTATTTAAAAAAAATATGAATATGTGATTCTTAGTAAATAATTGATGCACATTTATTTATTCTATTAATTTTCTAAAAGACTTAATATGCCAGGTCATGATTTTGATAATTTAATTAAATTTTGTACAAACTTAAATAATTCGATAATTAAATTTGTTAAATTTATGTTTTAAAAAAAATATTAATATGTAAGTCTTATGGACCCGTATAAGGGGCCCATTGATTCATAAGCCCAACAAGGGATAATCTAAGATTTAAATCAAGCATAACTATGGAAGGATATTCACCAAGGATATCAATTCTAATGCGACAGCATGGCGAATGGGCCAAGGCCCTCATTAGAGGCATTAAAGGTCCACAATTTACTACCCACAGGTAAACCCTATAAATAAGAGATAAAACCTATAGGTAGGTACACTCTCTCTCTTACTATTATGTTGTCACTGTGCGCACACCCCCCTTTTTGGCAAAGCTGTGATTGTTTTACTGTGCATAGTGATTTGCTTGACTCAAGAGTATCTCACCTTACTCAAACGTGGGGTGAAATATACATATATATCTCAGTAAACCAATGGCACCGGAGGGTCACTCTGCCTAGTGGCTCACTCACTGTGAACGCAATGATACATATATGAACAGTACAACATACAAAATCACATCACAACTAGACACAATCCAAGAAAATTCACTAAAGGATTCATTCAAGGACCACATCAAACTTCTCCTGGGACGCTTCCTGTCGCCTCTCCCATGGTTGAGAAACTCCATGGCAAACCCAACTAAACTCCTAAGGAGACCAATCCAGCGGAAGTCCCATGTTTGGAGCTCCCTAGTGCTACTCCCAGAGACGACTCTACGGCAAAACCCGACCGGAACTCCCTAAATGAGCATAAACCGGTGGAAGTCCAAACCAAACATCTACTAGCCAGAGATCACAATTGCAATATCTCACAACATATCACATGCATGTCAATCAACATGTCAATAATGCATGAACATACTATTACACATATTATCAAAGAGCACATATCTAACCATCTCCCCCAACTTGGGCATGGTGGAACGCACAAGGGAATTAACCCAAATTCCAAGAGTTTATCTCTAAGAACTCCTCAAGTCAAGCTCTCCAACGTTAGCTCCAAGCTTAGTCCACCTCTATTGAATCCGTGAGAGGGAACCTATAATGATCAAACAACAATGATAATCAACAATTCTTCAACCCACAACAAACCTTACTGTTTAATCCAACACTATCAAACCATTCCACATACCTAATGGGCACCTTACCACAATTGTTCTCAAATGTGCTTATATAATCAATAGGTAAAGACAGTGGTTCCTAGAGGTTTCTCAATGGTTATATCATACTTTAACCTTTCATTTAATTCCATAATTAATGACACCAACAACCAACACATAATCTTCAACAACATATTTAAGACTACAACCCATAATTCCATCATTTTCCACCAAATTTTCACTAAGTTACAAAGTTATACATCTCCATAAATTTTATGGGTTCAATCTCATTCCTTTATGATTCTAAGCATTTATTTTCAAAGGAGCGACATCATTAATGCCCCCAACCACCATAACTCACAAACACAAATGTCCATCAATGTTATGATCTCATTAAAATTCAAATGAGAGTTGAAATACTCACCACTATAAACTCCCAAGCTCCCTAGGAGTGGTTTCCAAGCACCAATGCAAGAAATGAGAGCTTCCAAGCTCCCACATACAACCTAGGTCGAAAATATTAGAGGATGAAGATCTCTTCACACAATACTGCCCACAAGGTGCACTAAAGATGGAAGTTGCTCACAAGGATTAGAGGAATAACTTTCGTCTTCAATATTTTTCCTAAAGGTGTCTAGAAATGGAGATGGAATTTCAAGCTCATATTTTGGTCTCCAATGGTGGGGGTTCACGAATTGGGGCTGATGAGAGGAGATAGAGAAAGCGTCAAAATATAATTTTTAACTAGTGTTCAAGGTCACTTTAGTGGAGTAGGTCTCACTTATCACTTTACTCACTTAAACCTACTCATTTAACCCATCAATCATCACTAAATTTATAATTCATTAATTTTATCCCAACTTCACATATTTTTATTTCCTATAGCATAATTTAATTTTTCATGTTTACCGGTAAAATTACATTGCAATATTTTATCCGATAAAATTCACTATTCTTCAAAATTTCTCAAAATATACCTACGAACTCCAAATTTCGTACTAAATCCATTTTCAGTATTATTTTCTCAAATTAAGCTCTGATTTATCATTTCATTTTCCAGGGTTACACAGTTGGCAATTAACCATTTTGCCCCTGATGAATATTTTGACCCAAAAATCAGGATTTTCACTAATTAAATCCTCTAACACTCAATTTAGAATTTAATATCATAATTAAATATGCGAGGTGTTATATTCACCCTACTTTTTAGGAATTTTGTCAGCAAAATTAAGAACATACATGTCCACTAACTCAGGATGTAGCTGGAGAATCTCATCCTCCCGCTCCAAGTGGCTTCCTCAGGTGTACGCCCCTCCCTTTGTACTTTTACCATAGGGATGACCTTGCTTCTAAGCTTCTTTTCGCCCCCCTCAAGAATAAACATCGGGCCAAAAAGATTTTTCAAGTTCTCTTGTATCTCTATGTTATCCGGAATCACCACATGTGACTCATCCGGAATATACCGTCTCAACTGTGAGAGAAGAAACACGTCATGTATATTAGACAGATTTGAGGGCAAGGCAAGCTGATACGCCATCATTCCTATATGCTTACTTATCTGATAAGGTCCAATGAACCTGAGACTCAGCTTCCTTACTCTCAATGCACGGCCAACACCCGTAACAGGTGACAATCTCACGAACATGTGCTCCTCTTCCTTAAATTCCAGGGGTCTATGCTTATTATCATAGTAACTTTTCTGGCGATTCTGAGCTTGTTTCAATTTATCTCTAATCATTGCAATTTGCTCAGATGTCTCTTGCACGAAATTGGGGCCAAATCTTTCTTTATCACCTACTTCAATCTAGCAAGTAGGAGTCTGATATCTCCGTCCATACAATGCCTCATACGGTGCCATGCCCATACTAAAGTGAAAGCTATTGTTATAAGAAAACTTTACCAGTGTCAGGTATTTATCCCAAGCAGTTCCCTACTTCACTGTACAACCCCTCAGCATATCCTCCAGGGTCTGAATAATCCTCTCAGTCTGACCATCAGTCTGTGGATGGTACGCAGTGCTCAGCCTAAGCTGAGTTCCGAAAGCCTGCTGCAAAGCTCCCCAAAATCGAGAAATGAACTTCGGGTCCCGATCGCTCACAATGCTAACGGGAATCCCATGAAGTCGCACAATCTCGTCAACATAGAGCTTCGCTAATTTCTCCATAGAGAAATTAACCCGCACTGGCAGAAAGTGGGCAAACTTAGTAAGCCTATTCACAATCACCCAAATTGAATCGAATCTAGCCTGAGTCCGAGGAAAACCAACCACAAAATCCATAGAGATGTTATCTCATTTCCGCTCTGGCATATCAAGCGGCTGAAGTAGACCAGCAGGTTTCTGATGCTCTATTTTAACTTTTTGACAAATCAGACATTTAGACACATACTCTGCAACATCCTTTTTCATCCCAGACCACCAGAATATTACCTTCAAATCTTGATACATTTTTGTCGCACCCGGATGAATAGCAAACTGACCCTTGTGGGCTTTAATCATGACCTCCTCTACTAACACCTTAGGAACAACGATCCTACCTTGATACAATAATTCCCTGCTCATTCCAGGATATACCACTATGGCCTTGCAAATATTTACTACTATCATTCTATGTTTGGGTCTCCTTAATTCTCTTATGCAATTCATTCTCAATTCTAGAAATTTCAATATCACACATTCTCCCTGCAAAGAAGTCAGTTATCCACAAATCTCTGAATTGTTCAATCAGTTCACTATCCCACATCATCATATGAGACAGACTGACAGATTTTTTGCTCAAGTCGTAATCTTTCAAGAATTCAACCCATCTATGATGTCTCATGTGTAGCTCTTTTTGATCAAACAGATATTCTAAACTTTTATTATCACCGAACATAGCAAATTTCAACCCATACGGAAAATGTCTCCATAGTTTCAATGCAAAAACAATAGCAGCGAGCTCCAAGTCGTGAGTCGGATAATTCTCCTTATAAGGCTTTAACTGCCTGGATGCATAAGCAATAACTTTTCTTTTCTGCATCAGTACACTACCTAACCCTTTTTTAGAAGCATCTCAGTATAATTCAAACTCACCTTCTGGATTTGGAAGAGTCAACACCAGAGCAGTAGTTAATTTCTCTTTCTGGGTCTGAAAGCACTCCTCGTATTCCTAGGTCCACACAAAAGGAGTATCATTTCATGTCAAGTGGGTCAATGGTGGTACCACTGTAGAAAACCCCTCTATAAACCTACAGTAATAAACAGCTAAACCTATAAAGCTCTTGATCTCAGTTACAGTTTTAGGTCATTCCCAGTCACTTCCCGCCTCTATTTTACTCGAGTCCACCGGAACACCACTAGCAGAAATAACATGACCCAGAAATTTCACCTTAGATAACCATAATTCACACTTAGATAGTTTAGCATACAAATTTTTATCTTTCAACATCTGCAACATAGTCCTCAGATGATTTGTATACTTCTCTTTACTCTTGGAATAGATCAAAATATCATCAAAGAATACAATAACAAACTTGTCTAGATAAGGTTTAAAGATGTGATTCATGTAATCCATGAACACTGTCGGAACATTAGTGAGTCGAAATGAAATAATTTGGTACTCATAATGTCCATATCTGGATCGAAAAGCCATTTTAGGCACATCCTCTGGCTTAATCCAGATCTGGTGATACCCAGACTGAAGGTCGATCTTAGAAAATACACAAACACCCCTCAGTTGGTCCAAAAGATCATCAATTCGTGGCAAAGGATACCTGTTCTTGATAATAATTTTATTCAACTGCCGATAGTCAGAGGAGAATCGCATGCTACCATCCTTCTTCTTTACAAAGATTACTAGTGCTCCCTATGGAGACACACTAGGTCTGATAAATTTTTTTGCAAAGAGCTCTTCAATATGTTTCTTTAGTTCAGCCAATTCCAGCGGCGACATCCGGTATAGAGCAAAAGAGATAGGTCCCACACTAGGCAACATATCAATAGATAATTCAATCTCCCTCTCAGATGAGAATTTTGGTATTTCATCAGGGAAAACATCTACAAACTCACTCACCAGCGGTATATTCAAAATTTCTTCTTCCTTCTCACAACCAGACTACCCAGTAATACATAGCCCAAAACCCCAGCCTTCAAAGTCTTAATGGTTTGACATATAGAAAAATAAGGAGAAGGACTAACAAAAGGCTTCTTAGGAGATAAAATCAACCTCTTTCCGCAGTAATCAATCATTGCACAGTTTTGAGCCCAAAATCAAATTAACCGAGGCCAGGGGTAAGATAATCATATCAACAGTGTAACCCCTGCCTTCATATACAAACTCAACACCTTTATAAATAAATGAAGAATCACTAACCTCTCTTGTAGCAGTAGTAATATGCATCGGGGAATCCATCCTTGTTACATTTAAATTACCCCATAGCCATATATTCCCAATAAAAGAATGGGTCACTCCAGAGTCAAACAACACAGATAAGTCATGATTAGAAATGAAAATTATACCTTTAACTAAGTTCGGAGCCTTATCAAAATGTTGGACATTTGTAGTATAGACGCGTCCAACCATAGGAAGAGCATCAGTAATGGTAGCAGAAGTCGGCAAGGCCTGCAGATTCGCAGCTTGCCCCACAGTAGAAGTACAGTTTCGAGCAAAGTGGCCAGTCTGACCATACTTAAAGCAAGCATTTGGAGTCACACCACACTGACATCTGTGGTATTTCTTGCATTTCCCGCATTGTGGGGTAAAATATCTATCATTTGGTCTGCCTCCTAGGGCTCCGCCCCTCTTGAATTTCCCTGAAGGTTGCCTTACTTGTAAACCTTTGCCTTTGTTATTACCCATCCAGTTGGAATCGAAAGGATTAGCATTCTTCTTCATCTCTTGCTCACGAGAAGCACTGGACTTAGGGTACCTCCCATAAACAGTCTCTACCCTTTTGCATTGGGTAACAAGATCCGCAAAGTTTCGCACCGCTATATTAGACATACACTTTGCTATTTTCTCATTAAGTCCCTTCTGGAACTTAGCAGCCAAAAGATTCGGGGTAGGTAGAACCCCGCCATAATTAGCAAACTTTACAAGCTCATTAAACTTCGCCACATAAGCATCCACTAACATGGTGCCTTGCACCACTCTATCAAACTCTCCCTGCTTCGCTTCCCTAGCATATCTAGGAAAGTATTCCTCATGGAATAGATTCTGGAATAGCCCCCAAGTCATCTCTTGTCCTTGTATCTCAAATGGCCTCGACGCATTGCACCACCACTCGTGTGCCTCACCTTCCAGCATATATACTGAATACCTTAGCCTCTGAGGATCCTGACACCTCATAACTTGAAATATCTTCTCCATGCCTTGTAGCCATGTAGTAACTACCTTAGGATCCTTAGACCCCAAAAAGGATGGAGGCTTATGCTTCCGGAAAGATATCAACCTTCTCTCTTCCACATTTGCCTCTTCAAAGTGCTTAACAATAATAGTATGTTGACTAGCATCACCAGTGTGATGACTAACCTCACTCTCCCACTGCTAAGGAGTCATAATAGGTGTAGGCGTAGGTGTAGAAGTCACTGTAGCCGTGTGTGGAGGAGAATCATCCCTCCTCTGTGCATTTCTCTCAGCCTCATCTCACTGACGAATGTTTGAAACAAATCATGGTTTGCTTTCATGAGATTCTCAGTAGTAGTCCTATTAGCAGCAGCTTTATTCTACAGAGCAGTCAACACTGCAGCTACAAGATCAAGCTGAACAGGAATTGCATTTGGTGCCCCGCGGTTGCCACGGAGCCTTCTCATGATAACTGTACATGTAACACAAAGGAATGAGCTAATCAAACCCACACTAAGAAATCACATATACAATAATCACAAAGAGTCTACAGACAACTACACAGCACTAAACACAATCATACAATCTACAAGTTCCCTGAGAAATTGCTCTGATACCATAAAATGTAACACCCTGTTACGTACATGTAATGTTATCATCAATTATGATATTAAGCGCAATTACTATCAATTATTGTCATTATACATCTGAGTGAGTCATTGGGCGGAGTAATCCTCCAGAATCTTTGGGCTACTGAGATATATTCCTATATCTCACCCCGCGTTATGGGACTATATTTCAGGTGTATTTAGCGGTGCCGAAGTTTTGGGCAAGAAGCCCACTGGTTGATGATGAGGAAGGCCATTGGAGTGCACAAAGATAATGTACATTTTTCATTTTGGGATTTTATTTGATACGCTAGATTTAGTGCATGAACATGTTGTATTTCATGAGTGATGAGTTGTTGTTCATGCATTATTTTGGCTAAGTCTAGTGGGTATGTAATTCTTATAATTTTGAGCATTTTGATTTAGTAGTTATATTTGTAATGGATTAATGTACTTGAAGAATTATGGATCTTGTGTAAATTAATGATGACCGAAATTCGATGGAAGGACAATAAGCCTATTTTAGGTTATGATGATGTCTAATTATGAGAATGCATGAAAATGGATTATGTGATTGAAATGATTATTAATTGTACAAAAGCAAATGGTGAACGACACTTATGAGTTAATTAAGGAATTGAGCAATTATTGTTATGGGTTGTAAGAGCACCAAGGTATGTTGAACCTTGTATGCCACCCTTGGTCTATTACGTACATTTTGGAGGATTAGAACACACTTTGAGAAAGTGAGATTAGTTAATAAAACAAAAGATATGCCATCAAAATTTCTAAGAAAATGATCAATTTTTAGACCAAATTTGGGAGACCATATCTCCCTCTATAGATGTCCAAATGAGGCGTGTCATACCTTATTTTAAAGCTCGAGATGTCGGATATACTGTCTCAAAATTTGGTACCATTTAGATTTAAGTAGCGTTCTATATGTCGGATATACTGAGGCGTGTGCGACCTTATTGGAAATGTGGGAGAGTCTAGTTTAACATACTAAAATATGGAAAATTATTGGTGAGTAGATCATGCCCAGTTTTAAGGAAACTGAAGGGTACTATGTTTTAAGAAAGTTGTAAAAATGAGCTTTATGCTAAGTTGGTTTTTGGAAACCTCTCAGCAACTTAAAATAAGGGTGGTATGATAATTAGGCAATTAAAATGTTACTTCCGCATTTAGATTTCAGTTGTGATCACAGTTTGTATTATTGTGTTTTACGGTTGTTTAAAAGCGTATATGTAATAAAAAGAAAAAGTTTTTTCGTATTTTTAAATAAACTTTTGTGATTGTAACTGCATTTAATACCATAATCAATGTTAACACACACCGGTGTACAACGGGGTGTTACAATTTTCTTCCAAGATTTCAAAAAATTTAAAATTATCTATATAATAGATTTGTTCTAAAATTCTCAAAATCCTAGCAGTGATTTACAATGTTGATTGAATGGTTCCTCATCCTCAAGTGTTGTAAGCTTTGTAAGATTTTGTATGTAGCAATGGTGGATTCTCTTTAAAATAACATATAATTTCTTTCAAAATCTTTTCAAAATTAAAATTAATCAACACGCATATATTTTCTACATAACGACATAGCTTGAATTTCCTATTATACCAAGGGATACGTCAGAATGAGACCCTTCCCATCAAGACCAAATTTGTTTTTGAAAAAATTAGTTTTCCTTTCCAATAATCAATTTTTATTAAATTCTTTGGGTTAAAATCAATATTTTAATAATTTATTAATAATTTACAATTTTGCATCATTAAATTGAAGGTAATCGTATTTTTAAAACGGATAGCATAGGGTGCTAACACCTTCCCTACCTGTAGTCGACTCCCGAATCCACTCTTGTTTTCTGGTGGGCTTCCAACTTGCTATGTATGAAGAGTCAAATTGAGCATGAAATTGATCTAAATTATAATCAAAAGACATTTAGGCCTTGTAAACCAACTTCATTTCATGCCTAAGGTTCAAGCCTTAGGTGTTGGTACGAGGGTTTAGGCCTTGTAAACCAACTTCATTTCTTACCTAAGGTTCAAGCCTTAGGTGCATAATCTAAGGTTCAAGACTTAGATCAGCGTTCATGTCTTCAGATCTTCAATTCATTTTTGCCTAAGGTTCAAGCCTTATGTACTAAGTTAGAATTTTGGGTCCTAAGTCGACATTTATTTTCGTCGAGATGGCATAGTTCGTTCACCATTGTTTAAACGAGGTTCACATCTCACTATTCATTTACTCCTACAACTTTCATGTATTTCATAAAATTGGGTAATTTCATTTCAAGATGAGTTCAAGAAGATAAGTTTTAAATAATTCAAGATAATTCATGTTACCTCGCAGATATCAACGGTAAAACTTTCCAAGTTTGTCTGCGATCCAAGTTCTCGGGATGGTCAATCTTGAAAAGTTTTCCAAGTCGTATGCACCCTTATCATTTTTCTTTACCCGTGATATGGTCCTTCTCAATTAGCAGTGACTTTTCCTCTCGCATGTTTTTGTTTCCTATGCCAGCTTTTCTTAGGACCAAATCGCCAAGTTCAAATGTGCGCTAGATAATTTTTTGGTTATATCTCGCAGAGATCCTCTATTTCATGGCCACTTCTTTTATATGTGTTATTTCTCTTATCTCTTCAATAATGTCTAAATTATGGAGAAGTGCTTGACTATTATTTTCCTTATTCGAGTGCAATCTTCTCTATGTTGGTTCTCCTATTTCCGCTAGGATCATAGCTTCGTTTCCATAAAACATTTTAAAGGGTGTTTCACTAGTTGTGGAATGAGGGTGGTTTTGTGGCCGCTAAGAACATAGTCAACATGATCTAGCCAGTCTCCTTTAGCTTCTTTTAACCTTCGTTCAAGTCCTCTTTTGATGTCATTGACTCGTTTGACTTAGAAGGATGCTCCATTTATTTAGACGCATGAATGCAAGGAATCTTTCCAGAATCTTAAAGAGAAATTGACGACTGCTCCGATGTTAGTACTTCCTGATCCGGAAGGTGAGTTTAAATTATACAACGATGCTTCGAAGAAGGGATTGGAATGTGTGTTGATGCAAGATAAGCGAGTAGTGGACTATGCGTCGCAGCAGCTGAAACTGCCCGAGGAGAACTATTCGACCCATTATTTGGAACTTGCTGCGATTGTTTTTGGGCTGAAACAGTGGAGACATTTCTTGTATTGAATGAAGTTTGTCGTGTTTAGTGATCACAAGAGTTTGAAGCACTTGTTTGATCAAAAGGAGTTGAATATGAGACAACGACGGTGGACTGAGTTTCTAAAATACTATGACTTTGGATTAAAATATCATCCCGGCAAGGCTAATGTTGTAGCTGATGCAATTAGCCGAAAATCTGTAAGCGTAAAGAGCATGATGATGAGAGATTATAATGTGATTGAGAGGTTTAGAGATATTAAATTATTGGAATTTTTTGCAGGTAGAATTTATGAAATTGAAATTACAATAATTGAAAATGATTTGCTAACCAGAATTAAAGAAGCGCAACTACAGAATGAAAGTGTTAAACGACTGAAAGGTCAGAGTGGTGTATCCTGGAATGAGCAGCATATACTATTATATCAGGGCCGTATTATTGTGCCTAGGCAGTTGGCGAAGGAAGTGATGACAGAGGCTCATAAGGGTCAATTCACTGTCCATCTGGGAGCTACAAAGATGTATCAGGACCTAAAGATTAATTTCTGGTGGCCTGGTATGAAGAAAGACATTGTCGAATTTGTATCCAAGTGTCTCGTTTGTCAAAAGGTCAAGATTGAACATCAAAAGCCTTTTGGTATGTTGTAGCCTTTAGATATTCTTGAATGGAAATGGGAGAGTATCTCCATGGATTTCGTAGAGGGATTGTTGCAGACACAGGCTAGTTATGATTCTATATGGGTGATTGTGGATAGATTGACAAAGTCTGCACACTTTTTGCCAGTTCGGGTAGATTTCTCTGCTGAGAGATTGGCTAGGCTCCATGTGAAGGAGATTGTGAGGCTTCATAGGGTTCCTGAGAGCATTGTTAGTGATCGGGACCTGAAGTTCACTTCTCACTTTTGTGGAGCATTGCAGGAGGCTCTTGGCACTCAGTTGAGACTGAGCACTGCCTATCATCCACAGACGGATAGTCAGACTGAGAGGACCATTCAGACGTTGGAGGATATGCTGAGGGCTTGCACCCTGGAGCAGGGTACTGCATGGGACAGATATCTCCCGCTAGTTGAGTTTACATATAATAATAGTTTTCATGCAAGTCTGGGTATGGCTCCCTACGAGGCCTTGTATGGTCGCAGGTGTAGGAAACCTACTTGCTGGTCGGAGGATGGGGACACGAAGCGATTTGGTTTAGATATTGTTCAAGAGATTACTGAACAGGTTAAGATGATTATGGATCGTCTGAAAAATGCTCAAGATCGCCAAAAGAGTTATTATGATCTTAAGCATTGGCCTCTGGAGTTTAAAGAGGGAGATTATGTATTTGTAAAGTTGTCTACTGTTACGGGTGTTGAATGAGCCCTATGAGTGAAGAAGCTGAGTCCGAAATTTATTGGACCCTACTAGATTCTACGTAGGGTAGGACCAATTTCCTACCAGCTTGCCTTGCCTCCACAATTATCAAACTTGCACGATGTATTCCATGTTTCTCAGCTGAGGAAGTATGTAGCTGATCCTTCTCATGTGGTTCAACCTGATGATGTTGAGATTCAGGAAAATTTGAAAACTCTCGTTGGGCCACTAAAGATACTCGAAAGAGATGAGAAGAGGCTGAGGAATAAATCCATTTCTATGGTGAAAGTCCAACGGGAAAGAAGGATGCCTGAAGAGTCCACTTGGGAGCGAGAGGACGAGCTTCTCCAGCAATATCTTGAGTTTAAGGACATGTATGTTCTTGATTTTGAGGACAAAATCGCTAAAAGGTGGGGTAACTATAATAGCCTTAACCCGATTAGTTAGTAAATTACATGTAATTAAGTAATTAAGTGTGTATTAGTGGGTTGAAAGAAGTAAAGTATTTAATTAAATAAATTAGGCTCACTTTTGAGGAAAAAAGTGCAGTCAGTGAAAATTATGGGGTAAAAATATGTGTAGACAAAAGTACCCAAAATGTAAAAGTAAGGCTAAAAATATTATTAGAAAAATATTATAGTCCATTGGATAAAGTTTGGTAGTGAATGGAGGTGAATATGTAGATAAATTTTTACCCGGTTGAAAGTTACCTAAGTAAAGTTAAGTCTTTTAACAAAGCAATTCCTTTACATTTGCTTCATCCGCTTCGTCTAACAGAGAGAGAAGTCAATAGCCATTGGAGAAAAGCTCCATTTTGTAACTTCTACATCTCTATACCAAATCACTTGGTTCTTGAACCAATGTTGCTTAGAATTGAGAGGCAAACACAAACCATAGCTTAGAATCTCTTGAAATCAAGTGTATAGTGAGAAAAATGGTGAGGAAAGTGGCGCCCTAACTTGAGATTGATGGAGTTAGAGTGACCCATTGATTGATTTAAACCTTGGAATCTACTCCCTAAGTGATTATAAGGCTAACCATGGTAAGAAATTCCATTTTCCTTGAGTTTTATGAAGTTGGGTATGTTAGGGTTCCATTTCATGAATATGCATGTATGGTGGGATAGTCTAGAGGTTGATTGAGGCTTAATTCCTTTGGAAAAGTTGTTTAGATGAAGAAAATAAATGGTAGAAGTAAAGTTAGATAGTCATTTGGTTATTGTTCAATATTTGGGAAAAATTCATGCTTGAAATGTTGAGTTTCTTGCATTGTTGAGCTATGGTTTGGTTGGATGATTGATTGTGTCCATTGTGGTGATAGAATTGAGCCTTGTGGACAAACATTGAAAGACCAACCATTGGAGAAAGCAATGGAGCTTGATTAGCTCATTGAAATTGGTTTTTGTTTGTGAGATTGTTGGTAACAATTGTAAAGCTTGGTTGATTTATCATTGGTGGTAAACAAAGGTTAAGCTTGGAAGCGCATTGAGGTAAGCCTTCGGACCTTGAGAATTGATACCTTTATTGTTCCACCAAGCTCGGAAGGAGTAGTGGTTGTTGATAGTGTATGTAAATGCAATAAAGTAGTTTAATGCTTTGTTAGACGTATGTGTATGCACTGGGTGTGACATAGGATGGTGTTTCCCTATGTTTTGTATGCTGCATGACGATGCGTAATTCATACTTGGTAGTTTAGCTGGCCAGTAGGACTATTTGCATCTAAGTATCCTTAGGACAGCATGAGAGCTCGAGGGATGTCTCCTGGAGATGTTTGTTATACACTGCATGGATATGTATTTGCTGCATTATTTCTTGTTATTGTTTTTACACTATGAGTGAACTATAGGGTGGAGAGATGCTCCAAGGACCCCTGGTTTAATGTGATATATTCATATATCTCACCTCGTGTTGTGGGGACCCCCTTTTAGCTACAAATGTTGCAGGAGCCTCTGGTGACAAGTGGTCGTATTTGAACTAGATGTCATATGTTGATAGCCTGATTTTTTGGATTGCATGCTATTTAGAATTGTTATATGTATTTGCCAATTATATCACCCCTTGTAGATGTACATTTTGAGGCCACGTGATGTATTTTGGAGGACTTAGTGCATGATCATTCTGGTGGTGAATGCCTTATTGTATATGGCTAATAGCTTTGATCATGTCCCCTTTGTAGCCAAGTCTTTTGGCATGTAATTATCTTGAAGAATATTGTTGTAAATGATTCATTGCAACATTGATTGAATGTGAAGAATGTTTTCTCATTTTGATTTGAATGATAAATTAATGAATATGGTGGCATATGAGTGCCACAATAGGTGTTGGATCATTGTTGGCCATGTCTAGTTTATTAGGTACCTAATTCACCCAATGCTCCATCAAGTTATGTGTCATTATGCAGATTGAACTTGTTTTTTTTCTGTCTAAGCGCGCTCAAGCGCCGTAGAGGGCGCTTCAGCGCTCTTGGTGGCTTAAAAGTACCAATTTCTTCTGCCTGTGCACTCTCAAGCGCATTAGAGCATGCTTAAGCGTGCTATCGGGCTAAAAAAAATGTTCAAAGAGCGCGCTTAAGCGCGCAGCCCGTTTTCAGCACGAACGTAGGTTAGTAAAATTGACATAACTCGAGCTACAAAGCTCCAATTGAGTGATGTTTGAACCTATGAGAAGCTAACACAGAGTTATACCGCTGTAAAATATTAGAGCCATTGGATGAGTATATCAATGTCAGTTTAGGATTGAAGTTGATGCTCCAATTTCGAAAGTTCGAATTTGTCAGCTACGTTGCGAGTTTAATAACTCCGGCTATACTTAACCAAATGGTTATTGTAATATCTTTCCGGAAAGCCCTAGACGTCTAGTTTATCATAATGAAAAGGTTAAAGTTAATGGTTAAGTGTAGTGGTCTCAGTTTAGAGAATTTTACATAATTACAATTACGGTTTTGGTTATATTAAGTACGGTTTTGTTTTAAAAAGTAAATGAACAATGTTTTTGTGAAAAAATTTATCCGTAGTTTTAATTAATCAATGTGATTATAACTGCACTTAATATCATATTTGATGATAACATACTGGTCTGGTAACAGAGTGTTACATAGTGCATTTTCAAAATGCAAAATGCTTGCGAAAGTGTGAAGGGAGGGATGTGTAGAATTTGAAAATAGAGGGTGTAAGTGAAAATCTGGGAAATAGTGGAGATGTTTTGTTAGAGTAATTTCCTTCAATAATAATAAACATTGTTTGTATCTTCAGCAATATGATCAAGATCAATTTTCAATATCACTTTAATAAATTCACAACAGACCATGCCCTCTTCACAAGTTCACTCCATCTCACATGGCTAGACCAGACTTAGCGGGGGATCAATCACCCTTCTCTTGATACAAGCTACTCATGAAGCCTTTGCCATCAATGAAAGGCACTAAAGGTCAACTATCACATGCTGAATTAGAATGTAAATATAGCATTGACCATACAAAAGCTGTAGCAAAGAATTCAAGAAATACATCTCTGGGAATTGACTTTAAGAAAGAAATAGTAGAAATATAACCACTTGCTGAATTTTCAATAAACAGTCATAAACCAAAGAGAGCATATAAGGCGATATCACTTTGGTATTTCTTGTATGTATCAAAGAAAAGTAGTCATGGCTATCTCAAGAAGCAATGGCTTAATATTGGTCCTGCTGTTATTTGCATTCTGTGAAATGCAAATCATTGCAGCAAAAGACAATCTATCTTGCACCTTCCGCAGCAGTCCATGCTTTAGAAAGAAGATACCATGTCCTGCTGAGTGCCCTCAAAAATCACCATCCGACCCAACAGCCAAAGTCTGCTATCTTGACTGCAACTCTCCCATATGCAAAGCTCAGTGCAAACGTAAGATCATTCTATGTTCATTTATCATAGACTTAAAAAGAGTGTATACCTCTGTGTTCATTTGTTAGAAATGTAATATAAAACTATTCATCTGTCTTCACATACCACCATACATTTTTGGGAGAGTTAGTTCATAACACGGTATCAAAGTCTCTATAATCAAGTGGTCTAGAGTTTGATCCTTCCTGCCCCATTCTTCTTATAAAATGTTTTAACCTAGAGTTGGTTCATGACATCATTAACTAAAATTCTTGATTTGCATTTTTTTTTTTTTATGTGAGTAGTTTCATTTACCATTTTGTGGAAGTATAACAAAGTTTTCATTTCTATATTTGATAATAACAGATCGGAAACCAAATTGCAATGGCCATGGATCTGCATGCTTGGATCCCCGCTTTGTTGGAGGAGATGGCATTGTTTTCTACTTCCATGGAAGGCGCAATGAACATTTCAGCTTAGTATCTGATGTCAACCTCCAAATCAATGCACGTTTCATTGGCCTTAGGCCAGAAGGTAGAACCAGGGATTATACTTGGATTCAAGCATTGGGAATACTCTTTGATTCCAACAAGTTTTCTATTGAGGCCAGCCCAGTAGCAATCTGGGATGATGAAATTGATCATTTGAAGTTCTCTTACAATGGAGAGGGACTTGTCATCCCAGAAGGTTACCCCTCTACATGGCAATGCCCAGAAAATCAAGTAAGAGTAGAGAGAACATCAAGCAAGAACAGTGTTATGGTTTTTATACCAGAAATTGCAGAGATATCTGTGAATGTGGTGCCTGTCACTAAGGAGGATAGTAGAATCCACAACTATCAAATTCCTGATAATGATTGCTTTGCTCACTTGGAGGTACAGTTCAAATTCTATGATCTATCCTCCAAAGTTGAAGGAGTTCTTGGCAGGACTTATCAGCCTGATTTTCAAAATCCAGCAAAGCTAGGTGTGGCAATGCCAGTAGTTGGAGGGGAAGACAGATACAGAACCACATCACTTCTTTCTGCTGATTGTGGTGTTTGTTTATTTGCTCCTGCTGAAGCCTCAGCAAAGAAGATCTCTGTGATGGAATATGATATGTTGGATTGCACTGGTGTTGCCAACAGTGGGAATGGTATAGTATGTAGAAGATGAATTTTAAAGTCACCAATAATGTGCTCCTAGAATGACTGAAAGTTGTAATTGTGATAAGATAATTGTTTTCTGTTTTCTTGTGGCAAAAAAGAAAGTGTTCTGTATCCAGATTTCCCAATGAATAAAAAGTGTAATCTTTTGTTTGTTTAACTCATAAATGAACAAATTGTGTGATTGCATGCAAACTTCTCTCATTTCATACCCTAAATAATAATAAAAAGTTGCATCAAATTTGCATTTGCTCTTAATGAATGACACCTCCTATAGTGCTCCATGTAAGGTAAGCCACGAGCTATAATGAAACACCGTGTATTGAAATATGTTAGTGCATAAAAAATAACAGACATGGGAGATTTCAAGAGACTTTCGGACAGATATTCAAGAATGGACAGCGAGAAACTTATCATGTAGAAAAAGTAAAGTTCAAGAAATGAAATTGAGGGTATGTATTCTGAAAATTAAATACAGCCTACCCATCTGAAATGTTTGTACATGGGTTTTAGGTCTGTTTCCCTTAAATGAGTGTAGTATGTTAATAGTTCTAGTGTGGCGTAGGTATGAATCTAAGCTCAAGAGAATAGTCATTGTGAGTGGGTCCCAGCCAAAGGATGAGAATGAATGGAGATATGTAAGGGCAGAGTGGCTCTGGGGCTGAATTCCAACGGAGTTTCAGCAAGGAGAAGCATTGTGCAAAAGGTGTCTCTTCAATGGAAAAAATGTGTACTTATAAGTTATAAGTTGGAAAAGATTCCCTTAGTAGGAGAGAGAGCCATAACTCCTTTTGTTCTTGTGGGGCCTATTAGGTATGAGACAAGCATGCATGAATGAGATAGATCATGTGAGGTGAGGGAACGTATTTTTGGTGCTGCTGGTGGTGCACCTTTCCCAAAAATAGAAAAAAATCAGGATATGAAAGTAAATTAACAAAATAATATGGATAAAAAATGTCACAAAAAATTTTTGTTTTGGGAAAATGGAGCACTCAATGCAGGTGCATTCGATCCACTTTAAAAATTCTCGAGGTAAGAGAATTGTCTCAATTTTTTATTTTTATTTTTGGATACACGAGGAAGTACTCTAACAAACACCACCTAATAGAATTACCCATACCTCTCACCACTAGGCTAATCCTACTGGTTTCTTTGTCTCACTTTAGGGATGCAGGGGTATAACCCCATTGATGGACCTCCTAAAGAACCAATTCAACTCAAAAGTTTAAGCTGTTGGATGAAGTTACATTAATGATTTTATATAACTCAACACGCCCCCTCACATGAGAGTCCATTGGGCTTGAAAGGTGGACGATGCACAGGCTCACTTACTTATGCAAAGAAAGAAATTCCACTAGAAAGAAAGTGGGGAGCGGTGAGGATCAAACCCGGTACACCAAGGCTCTGATACCATGTAAAGAACCAATTCAATCCAAAAACTTAAACTGTTTAGTGAGGCTACATTAATAATTTTATATACCTCAACAAACCTTATTGGCTGGCCCAATAGATCACACCTGTGTGGCCAGTCCAAAAAAAATAAAATGAAATATTTGATTGCTTGCAGGTATTCTAAACTTAAAATACAGCCTATATATCCAATATGAAAGAAAAATTAATTTGAAATATTTGATTGCTAGCAGAACGGATTTACTGGAAGTTAATCCTATATCATGTTCACGTCCATGAAACTCAGTTTCATTTGCCTATACATTTATGTAGGAGGAAAATAAACCATTTCTAACAATTCATGTCTCGACAGATTTTCTCAAAAGTTTCGCATAATTTACAACTTATTGAAGTACCATATTGATTACCCGCTTATTTCATAGAATACTAAAAATTCTCTCTTTAGCAACCAAAAGTAAATAGTAGAACAAAATATGAAAAGGAAAAGCAATTCAACTTATCAGTAGCAGTCCCTTGCTGTATTCATGTTCTGAAGAAAGAGATTATACCCTCCATATATTGTAAGGTGTAAGAACAATTGGGGGAGCTCAACTCCTGCAATCAATTACTAAACCAGCTCATTGGCTCCCATCACTATCAGTCTATTATATTACATAGTAAATTAATTGCTTAAGGGCCAAAAAATGGACTACAAAAGCATTAACTAAATAAGAAATAGCCTTCATTCACCAATCAGAACTTTTCAACTAGTCCCATTCCCAAGGCCAGAACAGCCACTGTACTTAATGGCCCTTGGCCAGAATCATGGATGCACTGAGAGCTCATCTTCCACGAGGGTTTACCAATTGTGAGAACACTGCACTTGTAGCAGTATCTACTGCATCATCATCCGTGCAAGAGTTTCCCCCATCAATCATACTCACAGTGTGATCAAAATGCTCAGAGGGTGTCAACTGAATTCCAGTGATGTGGTTTGTGCTGTTATCTTCAGGTTCCATGAGAGCTGATGAGGTCTCTTGAAGCTGCAAAGCATATTCAAGATTCCACAAGACATCTCCCATAGACGGCCGGTCAACGCCGTGCTCGGCCAAGCACTTCTCAGCTGTCTCCCCAAACTTCTTGAGAGAAGCTGGATTCACCTTTCCCACCAGATTTTGATCCATGATTTGGTCAAGCATCCCTTTTTTCTGCCAGGTCATTGCCCACTCAGCTATATTGACCTGCTCCCTTGGAAGGACAGGGTTCAAAGCTGGTCTTGTGCATAACACTTCCATTAATACTACTCCAAATGAATACACATCTGATTTCTCAGTAAGCTGTTGCCTTCTGAAGTATTCAGGATCAAGATAACCAAAACTACCTTTAACAGCAGTGCTTACATGGGTCTGATCAAGAGCAGGACCAGTTTTGGAGAGGCCAAAATCCGCAACTTTAGCAACAAAGTTCTCATCTAAGAGGATGTTTGTTGTCTTCACATCTCGGTGAATTATGCTTTGAGCTGCTCCGGTGTGTAGATAATGAAGGCCTCTTGCTGCTCCAATGCAAATTTCGAGTCGTTGCTTCCATGAAAGAGGTGGCAGGTCTGTTCCATACAAATGACTCCGGAGGGGTCCATTAGCCATATATTCATAGACTAGAATCATTTCTGATCTCTCATCACAATAACCAATGAGAGACACAAGATGACGATGGCGAAGCTTGGATAACATTTCAATTTCTGTTCGGAATTCAGCAAGACCTTGCTCAGATCTTGGGTTACCCCTTTTAACAGCTACATTAGTCCCATCTTCAAGTGTTCCCTTATAAACCCTTCCAAAACCACCAACACCAAGAAGTAGCTTCTCATCAAATTTGTTGGTTGCATCTAGGATTTCTTGGAAACTGAAGAATCTTCCAAGATTCGATGAAGCTAGAGAGATGCAGCTTGCAGTTCCACTCTTCTGTGAAGTTGTTGACATTTTTGTCATTGTCAGAGAGTTTCCATATAGGGATAAAGGCAGCCATGAATGGCCCGGTTGAGTAGTAGTCTTTGACTTGCGACCCACCAAGCAGCAAAAACACAAACCAACCACTACTAGAGCTGCTAGAGCCCCAACAGCAGAACCAACTATTATTCCTATCTTGTTCTTCTTTGAAGGAGAACTAGGAAGAAGATTGTCAACTGAAGAAAGCCCATCCAAGCTCTTTAATAAATTGCTGATCTTCATTATCTCGAGGCCATTCATAGTGGCATTTCTGGTTTCTGCCATTGTATCTGGACCAACACTTATAGTCAAAGTGTTAGAGTCTGCTGAGACATTGGAAACCATGTCCTTGTAGTAAGGCACAGACAAATCATTAGTTATGGATGAGAGGTCAAGACTTCCAAGAGCAATGTCAGAGTTTATGAACAAATTGAACACTAAAGTATTGAGTGACTTGCTCATAATATCACAGAAGTGCACCCGGATAAAATAGGAGAAATTTGGATCCACAGGGAAGACCCAAGTAATGTTGAAATTTGGATCATTTACATTCGGATCCCCCATTGTTTCAGCAGTGGCATAGACCAAATTTGGGGCTGTCTCGCGCCTAACAGCCACCGGATACTTAATGCTCGAAGGGTTGACCGACACATTAAGGACAGAGCTGTTCACATGGAGGTAATTCTGATCATTCATCCAAGTCCTTCCCAGGGTGTCATTCTGGGCAGTAATCAAAGGACCACCCATGTTCAAGCGATAAACAGTTTCAAAGGCAAGTTCAGAAAGTCCATTGAATGGGGCTGGTGGGTCAATAGCCAATGCCTGATCAACAAACAACTCATTTGGTATTGACACAACTTCAATTGCATTGACAAAGGCTACTGAACCATTTGAAGGAATGAAAGTGACAGTCAAGGTATCAGAGGTAACATTGATTGCATACTCCTTGAACATATAAGAACCATTGTACTTCTTAAAGGTGAAGTTACTCAACAACACAAAATCATCAGTAACAACTGATAAAGAAGCAGAAGTCAAATTATGGCCAGAGTTGGGAAGAGGGAAAAAATATAGCCTAACCCAGTGCCTACCTTCTTGCTGAATTTCAAATATGTAAGAAGCTTTCTCGGTGAAAACCCGAGCTGATTGGTAAATTGGAAAAGGGACACTAGAATTGGAACTAGCTACAAAAGAATTCCCAGTTTTCAATACAAGTGAAGAATGTTGTGAATCAGGAACAAAAGTGCGACCTTGGAAGGTGATGTTTTGGGAAGAACCACAAGCAATTAGATAACTATCAGGAGGAGTGTACAAGGCAAATAACCCATTAACCAAAACCAGAAAAACAACCAAAATGTAAGGAACCCATTTTATGAGCTCCATCTTCACCATTATAGCTTCCCTCTGGTCTTCAAAAGTCCATAAACGGATTATGGATACGCAAATCCGGATTGCAAAATAACTGGATCCAAAGTAACCCCAGAATTGCAAATACCAATCCCAAACAGCTGGTAGCAAGCCACACAAAACCTGCACCAACCCCAGATCTATCAGAACCAATGTAATGAACCGGACATTTCTATTAGAAGCAAGAAACAAAGTACGAAGTTTCTAACGTCACAAACACAACACAAAAACACAAACTTTACTTGTACTAAAAAAAAAAGACACAAACTTTACCTCAACAAGATTCTTAAATCTAACATGCTATAGTTTTTTTTTTTTTTCCTGACGTAAGTAGATTGAACATATGACATTTCAGTTCTGTAGGTAAAGAAAAACTTACCTTAATGTGAATAATCTGGACCCGAAGAGAACAAGGTTTGGAACATTAGAAGAAAACCCAGTTCAGATAACCAACATAAATCCCATTACTGAAAACTCATCAAGTTGAGCTTTTCAGTGTGATTGCAAACACCCTTTTCCAGGCTGTTGATTAGGCTGTCAGTGACAGAGGAAATATGGGGACCCCACATTGAAGTAAAGGAATATGAAACTTCCAACTCCAGCTACTATTAATCCTTCTGTTTCCTCAAGATTTTGTGGAGTGATTTTCAAATATCAGAATCTTTGAGAGGAAATGTTTAAACCCCAAAAAAATTAAAAGTATAAAAATACCATGGAAGTTATGGAATTGCAACTGAACATTTTTATAATATAGTTTTTGGGGAAAAGAATTCATGTTGACAGAATTCTTTCTCCTATTATTCTATTATTGAGACTTGACAGTGAGACATTAAATTATGTGTAATAATTTTTTTTTAATGAATGATAATATTCATCATATTTTGTGTTTATAATAAATAAATAAAAATCTCATATTTCATGAGAAAAAAAGTAACATTTGCTATAAAATTTGTTGTGTATAATATATTACTACAGTTATATTATATCTACTCTTTATATTTTGTAGAAAAATCAATTAAGAAAAAAATAAATGATGGCTTCGAAGAAGGGAGCAAATTTTCAGTGAATCCGCCTCACCGTGAACCTGATAAAAAGATGAATAAATATCTTTTTTATCCTTAGCAAATTTTACGATATCTGTTTTAGTCCCTAGCAAATAAAAAGGTACATCGTGGTTTCTATAAAATTCAAAATGAACCTATTTTAATATGGGTCTTTTTTGAATTTGTGAGGGACCACGATTTCAACTAAACGAGACTATTTTAAATTTCTTAGAGACCATGATGAACCTTTTTATTTGCTAGGGACTAAAACAGGTCTCGTGAAATTGACTGAGGACTAAAAAAATATTTATTCCAAAAAGAATAAGAGGAAAGAGAAGAGCAAGAAGAATAAAGAAGAGAGAGACGGACCATACAATTAATTTTCAAGGAATGGTGGCTGTGCTGTTCTGTGGGACCCGCTTTAACGCGGCTTCAAGATACTTACAGAACAGACGAGGCAGAGATTGATGTGGCATTGTGGCTTGAGCTTGACCATTGATGCATGCATGTAGTTTATTGACAGTGACGGAGTTTGACGTATGATCATAGATAAAATTAACTGATTTATAATTCTACATGATAAGAGAATTTTTTTTTTTTTTCGGACATTACAGGGAATCGACCTTAATACACACTAAACACACTCAACACCACTAGGCTATCCATAGTGGTGCTTGATAAGAGAATTTTTATGTCATGAGAAATAAAAAATATATGAGACTCATATATTAAAAAAAAGTTATGTATGAGACTCATATCAGTATAGAAATTGGGGTGTGTAGGTGGGATCCATATATTAGAAAAAATCATATGTGAGATTCATATCAGCACGAAAATCGAAATATGATAAAAAAATTTAATTCTAATGTTATATGAGAATTATAAAACTCTAAAATTAATTATTACCTATATTAGTAATGTAAATTTATGTTCTTTTAGTAAATAAAAATTAGAATTATTATTTCTGATTTTATAACAAATAATATTATTTTTTATATATACATAAATATATGAAATTTATACTGAATCAAGTGAAAAAAAAGAAAGAGAAAAAGATAATATGAACCTCATATACTTTTATATATGTGTAAGAAATAAAATTATTTTCTACAATATAATAAATATTAATACTATAAAAGTTTAGATAAAATTATATGTATCCCAAGAATTTCTTTTGTACATCTTTTTCAAAAAAGTAAAAGTTTTCTTCTCATTTAATCCATAATTTTTTAAGTATATTCCATCAAATTTCAATTTTTTTCTTTTTTTAAACAGACATATAGTGTATCTGCATCTGATGCATCCGCTGTGTCCCATCTTTTGTATTTATATTGAGAGCGATGCAGTTTGATGTATGATTATGAAAAATAATAATTAATTTTTTTAGCACACGTACAAATTTCGGTAGAGTTAAGACGCTGGTATATCACTTCTGTATTTCTATGATTGAGAATCACGAGATTACGGGCTTATTTGATTTTACTTCTTAAAAATAATTTTTTAATTTTTAGAAAAAAAATAAAAAAACTATTTGTTAAGACAAGAATAGTTTAAAAACTATAACTGTTTTTTAATTTTTAGAATGAAATTTAAGGAATATATCTGTGTTTTATTTTTATTTTTTTGTTTTGACTTTTAACTCTTAACTATTTTACGAAATAGTTTTGAAAAAAAAAACAGAACACAAATAAACATACCCGTTCCAAATTGAATAATATATTATATTATTAATGGTTTTTTTCAATTAGTTAGTATTTAATTAGCATAATTAATAATGTATTACATTAATACACTCAATTTCCCTACAATTCCGTTCCTAATGGTTCCAGATACAGGGGAAAGAAAATAGCGTAAAAAAGAGTTACATTACATGATTAAAATGGGAATGATTTATTGATAAAATAAATTCTACTTTGTGTATATTGTTAGTATAAAATAACATATTATTATTTAATACTATAGTAGTATAATATGAGGTAAGTTACACAAAATATTTTCTTATAAAACAACTTTGTTGTCTTTGTTTCATTTGATCAAAACGAAATAACAGCTCTCGTTTGATGCCATTTAGTGATTGTTAGATTGATTTTGATTCAATAATAATAAAAATGATTATAAGAGGTTATAAAAAAAATTATAAATATAATCTCTCTTTTATATTATTTATTGAGTATTATTAAAATGAGTTATTAAATTTATTAAATAATACAATAATATTTTAATTTATTGATTACCGTATAAAAAAAATTTATATTGTAGTACATTAAAATTAAATTATAAAATTAGGTTAAGTGAATTATTTGTGTTGAGTTCATTAGTTTATAATCAAAATTAGTGTATTACCCGTGCGATTCACGGAAAAAAAAAATCGGTTTGTTTGGTGTGGTGGGCCGGCCCTCCGAGCCAAACCCATTTTACCACTTCTAACTATTAGTATTTTATATCAGCATGTAATGGATTTATATATTTATCTTGTGGTGATTCCAAAATATATCGTTATACTTTAGCTTGTCCCGTGGTCATTCCAAAATATATCGCTATACTTTAGCTTGTCTTGTGATCATTCAAAAATTACAAAGTTTGACTCGACTTTTTTCAATATTTTTTAGAGATAGACTTTCATTTATTACACTCAGATTTACAAAATAATAATAAATAATTATTTTTTACAATCTGAAATTTTACAAATTTACAAATTTGGGATATGGGTCGGGTTTAAAATATTTGAAATTTGATATGCAAATGCAATTGATTGTGTTTGTGTGGTAGGGCTATGTTAACAGATTGGACTCTGTTTTGAGAACCAATTGAGAAGTTATTAAACAAATTACTCGAAATTCTAGAATTTTAAGAAAATTTTATTCATGAATTTTCTACAAATTCTAGAAAACTTAAATTATAAATCACACCATCCAACTTGAAGAAAAAATTCTCTGATTAAAAAAAAAATTATCGTTGGATTATTTGTTAGATTAAAATTATTTACAAAAATTAAAATCAGATTTAAGAATTTAATTATAAAAGAAGAAGGATGAAATTTTAATTTAATTATAAAAATGTGTTGGCAAGCGGGTCGAGCAGGCCCTCCAGGACAAGCCCAGTTTTTCACCTTTAACTATCAGCATTTTATGTGTGCTAACACACTTTCAGCTTAAATTTTAAAGACCTCTTGATCTGAGTAAAGACCTCTTGATCTGTTGGATATTTCACCATAACTGTGGAGAGCAAGAATATGAGCAAGCTTATGGTAGTTTGATTCAGTGGGATACGAGTGAAACACCAACCCTCTAAACAGTTGAGCGTGAGTGAATTGAATTTCCAGTGAGGGGGTGCTTCAGGAAATCTTCCTTGTTCTTGATCTTAAGAATTTTGTTAAAATTTTTTCTGATGAATTACGAATCCTGTTGATTGATGCATCAATTTTTAGAGTCTGAATGCTCTGTAATCATGTCTCTAATGAATCCTTCCTGTCAATTTCCATGCAATTGAGGATTTCTACTCCCTATTCCCTTAGTTATCTTGATTGATTGCTGAGGACAGCAATATTCAAATCTGGAAATGTTTGATAAACCTTTGGTTTACCATGTTTTTAGGCTAAATTATATGAGAAATATATAGTAGATTGCATGGAATTCAAGGTTTTACAGCATATAAACCATAAGTTAGGAAATTGAGCTAACGTTTTGATTTTCTTTGCATTTTGAAGGTAAAACCACACATATTGATGCTAAGGAGTGATGAAGAAATCATAACAAAGAGTTGCAGCTCAATATGAAACAAAGGAAGCCAAAATAATACAAGCCAAGGGCCAAAAGAGCACGCTCAAGAGCATAGAATGGACGCTCGAGCCCGTCCAGACAGGAAAATCAGCTAAATTGAGCAATCCAGGGTGCTAGCGCCTAAAACTACAAGAATTCACCATCGAGGAGCACGCTCGAGCGCGTGTGGGCAGACAACTTCAGGAAAATTATGCTCAGGAGCGCGCTCAAGCGCCCTGTAGCGCGCTTGAGCGCCCAATACGAGCACAATCAGCCCAATCTACATGACCTTTGAAGAAAAGGAAACAAATCAAGATTTGATTTGAGAATTGATCAAGATTCATAGAAATATTAGATGGAGAATTAAAAGATATGGTTTCAATGGTTATAAATAGGGAGTTGAGGGTCAAGGAAAAACACCAATTCACAGACACACCAAGGAATTACACACAGACCCAAGGGAGGAAACCTGTTGCGGAGCGTTGGAGCACTGAGGAACTAAGTCAACATCTCACCAATGGAGGCTTGGGGTTCTCTTTTCTTTATTATTGTTTTTCAATTCAGTATGCTAGGCTAGACTTGTATGCAGTTAGGGGTAGATGAAACCCAATTGAATAGTATGCCTTGAATTAAATTGTCTCTGATTTTTTTCTTTTTATAATTTAATAAATTTATCTGTCTTTAATGCTTTCTATGAGTTTTCTCCTTATAGATTGATTTAGGGGAATTGTATGACAATAGGGATGTTGGTGCATGAACCTTGACTTGGTAAATTTATCATAATCCTTGTGATCTAGGGATAGACATAGGGCAATTGTGCAATCTTTAAATTCTTGATCTAATGCATGTTTTCTTGGGG